GCAGACAAATTGGCACCATATGCAGCCTGAAGGTGCTGTGCTATTGGATCATTTCTAGTGCCTGTTGATAAGTTGAATTACATCCAAGAAGCACTTTATCTTCCCTAATGCACCTTTATTTTGAAATGGGCCCCAGATTTGATAGTAATGAATGATCTGCGTCTTGAAATTGTAAATCCAAATGGTTGATGATGTTGCCATGATCAGCATAAATGCTGTATCAGCATTCTGTCTTTGTGGTTTCATCTCTCTCACAGTTGAGAATCTTTTTGGCTCCCCTGGTGCCGTTGTACGCTCCAAAATGGAAGTGTCATCCCATTGAACGTGTAACACAGGAAGCCTCAAACAGAATACATCACTCCACACCGTTGCTGCTTTATTGTCTCGCTGTTGAATCAGCCATCTCTTGTCTTTCTGCTGTGTTTCTGTTTGGTCTTCATTGTCAAACTCTCAGCAGCAAGACAACCAGGGAAATCTGGTTGATTGGCTTAATAACTCATTTTGTTGAAACATTTTCTTCTCATTTTGCTTCAGCAACTTGGCAAAGAGTGTCTCTTCACCACATCTTTTTCAACAGTGAAAAAAATAACCTTTATGTTTTTGAACGTAAACATACGTAACACACAGTTTTAGACTATAAAAGAAATCGGCAACAAAAAACAGTTAAAAAACTGTACGCTTAACTACAGGTATTTAAAATTATGCAATCTCATTCAATCACAATAATGAATGACAACTTAGGAAGTGCATAGTACTTGTACTTGTTCTTACATGTGAAAAATCACATGGAAATGTCATCGTATACACGCAAGTTACACACTTGAATTCTTATTTTAGCGCATTTTATGATAAATATGCTAAGAAAATGTGAGTGGTCTAAATTAGTAGACATTCGTACACAATATTGAGATTTTGTGCGACTCAGATACATTTTTGTCACATTCTTGTGCCCCGAACACCACACACTTACAGGAACACAGATTTAATTAACATTTTAATATCCCTGAACACAAACATTGACCAGGCGTCATTGATCACAGCACTGCTAATTTAAGGAACTGAGGTTAAACATTAGATACTTGCATTGCACACTTATTCTGCCCTCAGAAAAATTAAGCACATAATAGCAATAATAAATATGCACACATCAACACAAAGGCAGATAAAACAGATAACTCAATGTAAGCAAAAGTCCTTCTATAAACTACTGTACATGATTAATTAAGGCAAACTAATTAAAATTGAGTAGGGACGTGTTTGCTTTTGCAGTGGGTTCTGCAGGAAACCCTTTCTCTGTCTCAGTGCAATCTGTGTCTTCATCTTCTTCTTCTTCTTCTTCTTTGTAATTATTACACATTACTCGTTACTTTTCTCAAATGTAATGCAATACTTACTTGTCAGAGAAAGTGATTCATAATTTGTGCCAATGAATGTTTGGGGTTTTTGTACGTCATAACAGAGTTTAGTAAATTGTTTAGCCATCACACTGCAGGAGGATTGATATAAGTGTCTCCACAGTCAGAGAGTTGGTAAAAATTGTCAATTACTACAGTAATTATTTAGAATTCATAATTATCCCTGACACACAGAGATAAGATCGATCAGGTCCCACAGCAAATGACATCCTTTACTGCACGGCTATCTCATGAAAAGTCTTAGTTACAGTCAAATTATTTGAAACATAAAGTGGCTTCAGGTGATGTAATCATAAATAGATATCAACTATTGCGTGTTATTTATTTTTTAATTATGCAGGGGCTTTTGTAACACCGGCAGATTAAGTTAAAAAAAAAAGGAGGGGGAAATCAAATCATGGCAGTAATGATCTGAGCGTGAGAAGCATCACAATAAACTTGACTGGCACACTAATGAGATGTACGTCTGTTTGGGTTTCTCTCGACTCCAGCTACAGCTCTAAATTGATTTGAAACTTTTGAGAGCCTCACCAGAAAAGGAACAACTTTAGCCGTGTTTTTCCCCAAATGCTTAAAATAAACTACCTTCAGGCTGATCTAAGGAGAGACTCCCTGTGTTGTTATGTGAATTTTCTTCTGTGAAGAACAAAATTGAATTTTACCATTGGACACAGCCATGGTTTCTTGTAAACAACATATAAAAATAGTTCCAACAGGGGGTAATTTTACACACTTTGTGGACAATTTTTTCTTTCATATTTTTTTTAGAAATAGTTGCAAAAGAATGAAACGATAGAGTCTGAGAAAGAAGACTTACAGGATGCAGCTCCCCCAGTTTAGATGATATTAAAGTGTCCTTTAAATGCTGACTGCTTTGGCTATAACAGGCTTATACTTGAACCTCCAGGAAGCCACTTTCAAGTGCCCATGTTATAAAATTCTGTGGTAAAGTTTTGATTTAGGCTTCAATAAAATTAAATACAGCTTTGTGGTATTGTAGGAAGACACTGACAACTTCCTTCACCCTCAAAAACTCATCTTGGGTTAATGTGGAAAGCTGTTTCCATTTTGGAGAATGTCGCTGCCACCAAGAGAATCTTAACCGTAGCTGCCAGATTGTGCTGCAGTTGCTGGGATAACTGGAAATGAAACACCTGCACATGAATCCAGGAGTGGCAGAGGAGACCAATGAAAGTTTGAGTTTATGAGGGACTATAATCACGACGCAGGGTTTAGGGATCATTATATTTTCATGATAGACAGGCATAAAGCTGCTGTGGCAAATATTGCCACTTTAACAAATGCACAAGACGAATAATTTGTTCATAAATTACAATAGCCTGAAATAACTTTTTCATACTGACGGTAACTGCTGGCGGTAGCACCTTGCAATAACTCCAGCAAATGTAGTTGGAACCTGGACGTCATCTCCCCAGTCAAAACTGCTCATCTTACAACAGACAAAACTCAACCTTGGGCAGATGGATAACAACATTATTTCCACACACAACTGAGGCAGCATCAAACCGCTTACTGAGTGAGATATACAGATCAGATTATTGCAATAGGGATTTAAAGGCGGCAGCACGGTGGTTAGCACTGTTGCCGCACAGCAAGAAGGTCCTTAGTTCAATTCCAACACCAGGCCGGGGTCTTTCTGTGTGGAGTATGCATGTTCTCCCCGTGTTTGCGTGGGTTCTCTCCGGGTACTCCGGCTTCCTCCCACCATCCAAAGACATGCAGCTTGTGGGGATAGGTTAATTGGAAAATCCAAATTGCCATTAGGTGTGAATGTGAGCGCGAATGGTTGTCTGTCCCTGTGTGTTGGCCCTGCTACAGACTGGCGACCTGTCCAGGGTGTATCTCGCCCTATGACAGCTGGGATAGGCTCCAGCGCCCCCCCCCCCGCGAGACCCTGAAAAGGATAAGCGAATGGATGGATGGATTTAAAGGCATTGATATTTTTTTTAAAGAACAACTAATCACTGTGAACAGATGTCGGCACAACGTGTCCTGCACGCATAGAATAGTTTTACCAGAGCTTGTTTTGAAAAATAAATTAGTTCACTAACCTAAATGAAACAGCATAGTGATTAAAAGCATTGTGAGCTAAAAAAAAAAGAAAGAAAAAAAAAGCGATTAGCTGATGAAAATTGGAATATTTGACTTTGTAAGATTAAAAACATGGCTCCAGTGCTCATGGGGCCTGTTTAATCATTGTTTGGTCTAGCAAATCTGAAATTATATGGAAATGTTCACTTTGCAGTTTGTTTTTAAAAAAAATTAAATCGGAGCCTTGATATGCTATCGTTTAATGTGTCCAAATTATTGCTAATTGGAAAAATGTTCAGAGGAGGAACACCAGACCCAGACATGTTGATATTTTAAATGTTGACTTTTGAGTGAGCGCGAGGTCCTAGCGCAGCAAATGCATCACTGAGGGTGTGTGTAAGAGAAAGTGTGTCTGTCACAAGGTTTTCATAGGTCTTTCAATCACAGCACTCTGTTGGGAGAGCTCACAACACAGGTGTTAGCAGAAGGCCTGAGGGGGATACACGTCTCTATATCTGTCTCATTCATTCTCTCTCTGAAGCATCTTCTCGCTGCATCTCACACTACCCATAAATCAATCCATGCTATATATAGAAATATTTATTAATAACATCTGAATGGACAATGTACACACTCTGCCTTAGGTTCATAATACATCTTGTGTTTACAATATGATTAGTATCTCACAAAAAAAAGATATTTATTAAAAATGACTCATGAAAAAAATGATGCATGCATGGTACCTACAAACACAGAGGAAACTGTTATTCGTGACAGTGTCCAATACCGAGCCATAAACAATACTGGTATTAATCTGAAATTAAACAGATTTTAGTTAGAAAACAAACAAACACTGGCTTATTAAATTACTATCACAGAGTATGGTTCCAGTTAAAGAAAAGCAACATTGAGTGTCATAACAGTGGGACAGGGCAGCTTCACTGTGGAATCATTCAATTAACTTAAATGGGACCTGTAATGCTCATTTCCAGCTTTGTTTTATTTTATCAGACTTTACTAAAGTAGCTTTGCATGAATCAAAGTTTTAAAACCATCTCAATTCATGCATTGTCTGAAACAAACCTTTTTAGCTCCTCCCTTTCAGCCAGATTTCTTCTGATTGGATGCCCCTCATAAGGAATGACTTGAACTGTCAGAGCTGTGTGCTAAAATGACCACATTATGGAGATCCCCTCTGTCTGACATCATACAGATCTAAGAACAGATACATCTTTTGGCACACAGGGATTACTATTTTAAATGTTGGCCATCTTTATTATAAACACCTCCTATTGTATATTCTGTATATAACAGAAAACAAACAAACAAAATTTATAGGACCCCTTTCATTGCAAAAGCTCCTCATTTCTCGCAAATTATTAAGAGTTACCACCTTTATGGTCTTCTAAGCACCTCTCTAAATTGGAACACTGAATGGCAAAATGGCAAAGCACATTAAAAAGGCACAAAGGAGTCCCAAAGGGGTTGCACAATAACATCTGCAGTCATTGTGTAGTCCCTAAGGATAACTGATTTGTTACAACATGGGTTTTATTTTTTGTAGCATCTGGGAACATGGTGACATCACTACAGGGGACAGAAAAACATGAGCAGTCACATAATCAGACAAACTACAACAAGCCAGCTGTTTATTCAGAGTATTTAGATCGCCTAAATTCAGCATGTTGAAGCAAACTGAGCTCATGTTGGCAGTAATGCCTCCTGTAAAAGACCCTTTCCATTCACCTTGCAGGACACCGGCCCTCGAGGCCTGGAGTTGAGGACCCCTGCCTTAGCTACTGAAAATAACAACTGAAGTTTACAACCCCATTTTGCTCTGCAGAACTTCTTTAGATCTTACAGTCCACAGATTCCTGTTTATGTTTTGTTTTCTTGGCTCATCAGTCTTGTTTCCAGCAGAAGCGCACAGCTGTTTCCAGTGCAACAGCTTTAAAAACAGTCAAAACCTTCAGTCAGCATTTATCTGCAAAAGTGTAAAACATTTTCCAAAAGTAACCATGACAGACGAGACACCAAGTAGAGTACAGTGTCAACCATAAGTCATACAGTTTAATGTAAAACTTTTATTTCATGTTATTAATGTTTGTCCTGAAATTGTAATTGTAAATTCTTGTAAAGCCAAATAACATTAGTAAGTAATGATGACACTTATGTCTGGTTATCAGGATGATGTCTAAAAACAATCATAATTCATTTGCCTTAGATGAGATGAGTGGACTGCTCTTTTTCCACCGATGACAACTTATGTTTCCTTTATTATGACCACACCCTGTTAAAAAAAGGATGCCAATTTAACATGCACTAAAAATGTTCATTCTTACATTTTACAAATTCTTGGATCAAATCAAATCCTCTTCAATTTTACTTCTTAACAGGAAATCGTCTTCGCCCAGTGAAGTAAAACTAAGGTTTGCATTTGAATCTCCTCTGTTCGTGTCTGCTCTGGCTGCCAGTGATAAAGGCAACACAAGATATAACCAAATGCATGATGAGAATGAATCTTCAACACAACAAATAAAACTTTTAAAAGAGCTGAAATGTGTTGATCTGAACAGTGATGCTTTCTAATTCTGCAACTCGCCTTTCTAAATCCTACTATTGAGCAAATATGTTGCCTACGATAGCTGATCACTTGCACAAATCAACCGTCACAGCTGTGCATATTCACCTAAAAATATAATATTTTGGTCCACAAACTGCAATTTTCCTATAAACAAAAAAGAGGCATAAGCTTAATCTGTTAGATAATCTGTTAATACTGTCAGTAACAGCTCAATAAGTACTGTACTAGTTTAGCTGGAATGTAGTTAAGTGTTTATTTGGTTGTGAAGACACAAAAGGAAGTGGGAATCAGACTTTGCTCCAGCCTTATCACACTAACACCTAGTTCAATCTAATGACACACAGTTTGAGTATTGGCTTATAGCTGATGTTAGCCCACTGCTGCAGCCACTTCTTAGCCACAATTTGTACTGTATGTTTTAACATCAAGTAGGACTGTCTGTTGGCCCGTTGTTCTACCACCCTGAGGCTCTATATCTGTGTGTGTCTGTGTGTGTTGGTGTAAGTATACTGGTGCGTGTGTGTGTGTGTGTGTGTGCGTGCGTGCGTGCGTGCGTGTGTGTGTGTGGGGTTATGGTGATGGTGGTGTCTTCAGGGAATTGGTGGATCCTCCTTGGCTTCCACTCACCGTCGCTCCTTGTCCAACCCACTGAACCACAACAGAGAAAGAGAGTTTTAGTTAAAGACCAAAGGGAACGAAAGTCTAGAAACTTCCAAAGACTGGATTGACATACTAAGTAAATATGCACTGTAAGCCAGGATGGTTTGCATCCAGGTTTGCTATGACTGTTGGGTTAATTGGCAGACCTTAATGTGCTTTGAAAGTTGTGGCAGTTTTTCTAAATAAGAAGATTTTTCAGAAGTGGAAGCCTCCGCAGCTGAGAAATCATGAACTACATGTGGAAATGCCCTTCAAAATTAAATGGGGGTGGCTCACCTGACACATACAGTGGGGCAAAAAAGTATTTAGTCAGCCACCGATTGTGCAAGTTCCCCCACCTAAAATGATGACAGAGGTCAGTAATTTGCACCAGAGGTACACTTCAACTGTGAGAGACAGAATGTGAAAAAAAATCCATGAATCCACATGGTAGGATTTGTAAAGAATTTATTCGTAAATCAGGGTGGAAAATAAGTATTTGGTCAATAACAAAAATACAACTCAATACTTTGTAACATAACCTTTGTTGGCAATAACAGAGGTCAAACGTTTACTATAGGTCTTTACCAGGTTTGCACACACAGTAGCTGGTATTTTGGCCCATTCCTCCATGCAGATCTTCTCGAGAGCAGTGATGTTTTGGGGCTGTCGCAGAGCAACACGGACTTTCAACTCCCGCCACAGATTTTCTATGGGGTTGAGGTCTGGAGACTGGCTAGGCCACTCCAGGACTTTAAAATGCTTCTTACTCCTTTGTTGCCCGGGCGGTGTGTTTTGGATCATTGTCATGTTGGAAGACCCAGCCTCGTTTCATCTTCAAAGTTCTCACTGATGGAAGGAGGTTTTGGCTCAAAATCTCACGATACATGGCCCCATTCATTCTGTCCTTAACACGGATCAGTCGTCCTGTCCCCTTGGCAGAAAAACAGCCCCATAGCATGATGTTTCCACCCCCATGCTTCACAGTAGGTATGGTGTTCTTGGGATGCAACTCAGTATTCTTCTTCCTCCAAACACGACGAGTTGAGTTTATACCAAAAAGTTCTACTTTGGTTTCATCTGACCACATGACATTCTCCCAATCCTCTGCTGTATCATCCATGTGCTCTCTGGCAAACTTCAGACGGGCCTGGACATGCACTGGCTTCAGCAGCGGAACACGTCTGGCACTGCGGGATTTGATTCCCTGCCGTTGTAGTGTGTTACTGATGGTGACCTTTGTTACTTTGGTCCCAGCTCTCTGCAGGTCATTCACCAGGTCCCCCCGTGTGGTTCTGGGATCTTTGCTCACCGTTCTCATGATCATTTTGACCCCACGGGATGAGATCTTGCGTGGAGCCCCAGATCGTGGGAGATTATCAGTGGTCTTGTATGTCTTCCATTTTCTGATGATTGCTCCCACAGTTGATTTTTTTCACACCAAGCTGCTTGCCTATTGTAGATTCACTCTTCCCAGTCTGGTGCAGGTCTACAATACTTTTCCTGGTGTCCTTCGAAAGCTCTTTGGTCTTGGCCATGGCGGAGTTTGGAGTCTGACTGTTTGAGGCTGTGGACAGGTGTCTTTCATACAGATGATGAGTTCAAACAGGTGCCATTCATACAGGTAACGAGTGGGGGACAGAAAAGCGTCTTACAGAAGACGTTACAGGTCTGTGAGAGCCAGAGATTTTCCTTGTTTGAGGTGACCAAATACTTATTTTCCACCCTGATTTACAGATAAATTCTTTACAAATCCTACCATGTGAATTCATGGATTTTTTTTTCACATTCTGTCTCTCACAGTTAAAGTGTACCTCTGGTGCAAATTACTGACCTCTGTCATCATTTTAAGTGGGGGAACTTGCACAATCGGTGGCTGACTAAATACTTTTTTGCCCCACTGTATCTATATAATGAGTCATGTCAGTTAGTCAACTAGCCTCAGATTTAACAGGTTGCTCTCAGTCCCATTTGTTATATCCCTTGTCTGCTGCATGAGACAGGGCTGTCACTCCCAACACGTTGAATATAAAACCATATGGTAATGAGTGCAAAGTGATGTTTTTCAACCCAAACCACAATATCTTTGTTATGGTAATCCAGTATTTTTAGTGCCTAATCCATTCCAGGAGGTAAAAGCAAAACCAAGTGCAAAACACAAAGGTGCAGGTCATAATTTTCCGTCTAACAGGCATGTTCCAACAATCACATTTACATTACATGCTTCTGTAAAAGGGACTTTACCATACAATATAAAACGTGTTGTGATTTGGTGCTATATTGAACTGAAGTGCAAACTGCATCCAAGACATAAACTCCACTGCTACTAACACAAAATCGGTTCTTTCCAAACATCTGCACAGACAGCATGATGACCCCAGCAGCCCGAGTCAGATCTTCAACATGTTTTTTTTTAAAAACTTTTTACCCCATTAAAGCCATTAAAAGGCCGATGGGGTATTGTTGTTACCCTGCTGGGTGGGCAGGCAGACAGGGTGAGTTTCTAAAAATCTTGTGAAATACTCACTGTGTCATGTTTGGTTATGTGGAGCAGTTTAAAGCTTCACAGATGAAGATGAATTAAGCGCCAGTCATCTTTTGTTTTGTAAATTCTCTTTTAAATACTGCTATGACAAGTGCAAAATGTGAAAAATGCATAAACCACAAATTTGTTCCTCACAGAAATCCCATGGAAATCATGCTATATAATTAATTGGTTGGACTGTCAAAGTGAGCCTTTTTATCTGAGAGCTGGTGTTATGATTTTGATGTGGTCCTCTTTGATGTGAAATGAACCTGCCCGGGAGCAGAATGAAGGTGCACACTACCATGGAGAAATGTTTTAACCTGAGCCAGCCCTGTGAGACTGAAAATCCAGAGATATAAACTCCAAAGCTGGCTTGGGAACACACTTACCTCACTTCATGAGAGCAGCCCCTTCAGTGTGCATGTCTGTTATCTAGTTACTCATTCATGTGACAAAGTGGAAGCAACCGAGCTTTCAACTTTCTGCATTTACTTTACTTTCTACTCAGTAACGTCTGAACTGTGTGTGTGCAGTGTGTGTGTGTGTGTGTGTGTGTGTGTGTGTGTGTGTGTGTGTGTGTGTGTGAGTGTGTGAGAGAGAGAGAGAGAGAGTTTACAGTCTGGGCCGAAGAGCTCAAGCTGCTGAATTATTAATGCTCTCAGTGGTCAGCGGGTCAGTCCAACACTTTTGAAAAGCCGTAAACTAAAGTGGACAGGAAACCAGCAAGTGTTTGTGTGTGTCAGAAAAACACACACACACAGACATGCACATGTCTGTGTGTGTGAAAGCCACGTGTGTGTGCATGTGTGTGAGTGTGAAAGCCAACTTGTCAGATGTGTTTAGTTTTATTTGTTGAAACATAAATTTTGTGCGAATGTGTGAATACTCATTGCTTACATATTATGCATAGGCTTCAGCTACATATGTGTGTATAACTGTGTGCAAGGATGTGAAATATCCCCCGAGCCAGTTTCCCTTAGGTCTTCTGTGTGGATCTCTACACAAATAAGCCATTAGATGAGATCTCAGACTCTGCTGCTCTAGTCCAGAGCTGCTGCTAATGGCCTTAGACAAGAAATGCTACTGGTGAGTGTTTGACACAGCCCATTGTTTGTGTGGATGGGTGTGTTAGTGCTACACAAATGGCCTCAGAGACAGTGAAAGAGCTCCTCTGGCCTCAACACTGTTGGAAATATCAGGGTCATTGACCTCTCACCAATACTGAAAGTACACAGTGTGACAGCTAGTGCTTCATTTACTTTATTTTAGGACGGCTTCCTTTATGGCTTTATGTGGTTCTTAGTACAACACTTAGCTGTTAACTTGGAGAAGTGGGGACTGACACTGTGGTGTAAAACGAGACTTAACAACCTGCATGTTATTTTCAAAAAGCAGTTGAATTTTGTTTAATTTTACAATATACACACTCAAACTTAGAGGCAGCAAACCATTCACAGGCAGATTATGAGATAGAAAAACTAAAATTAAAGCATCAGAGCTTCAAAAATGATTGACAAGAAAAACAAAATGCAATGAATTACTACTAATCTGAAGCCTACGTTTAATTGACAATAACACAAAGACAAAGTGTTGATACAAAAAAAAGTTTTGATCTCAAAAAAATCACTGCTGAGCCTTTCAGGAGTAACAGAAAAGAATAAATCGAAAAGAATTTAGAGATTTATTCTAAGAATCCCAAGAAATCGGTGTACATAGCAGATAAGACTAAAAACAATGTTTTTTAAAGGGACATGAATTGGTACTTTTCAAAGTTCAAAACTCACCTCCATAAAATACACAGTGTTAAACTAAAGCATAAGACTACCACACAATATAAGGAGCCCAGCTGTCCTAAATCAAAAGTATTTCTACTTACCAAAATAGATTCTTATGTTTATGTTTTTTATGACAATTTGTTTGCATTGTATATAATTGCATTGTGTTTAGCCTCTTTCACTTTGACAGGCAGCTTAACAAATGAAATCATGTTTTAAAAACTGCATTGTGTATTTGCGTTTGTCAGTCCCCAGATCTACACCAGGAAGGCAATGACGAAAATGCTGTACTATATGGTTTTTAATGGGCATTCACAAATCAATGGGTTTCATATAATTTCATAAAATACATGTCTATATTTTATATGCAATTCATAGTGCCAAGGCAGGCTGTGTCCTAAGCATAAACATATCGAGCACAATGTCTTTTTGTTGCCTTCTGAATGAAAATTTTCTGCAAATTATGTCACTTCATGTCCTTTGTACTAAAAATGCTAGCACTTGACTGTCTGTGTGATATGTTCACAAAGTTTATGGATCTTGCTAACAAAGCTAGCAAATACTAGCTGATAGCTTAGCTCTCCAACCCCCTCCATTGCTACTGCTTGCCAGATAGAGTGTACAAACCATCTTTTATGGACAGTATATTATGGCGAGTCAGAGATGAGCAGTCAAGCCATATTTGAAATCAAAGCTAATAGAGACATTAGTAGTGAATGGCCACTTAGAAGCCTTAATATTGATATGCTAAATTGATTGTTTTCTATGGCAAAAGCTTTCTTGTCAGGAAACCAATGCCAGTTAGTTGATCCACAGCTTTCCTGCTCAAATGGCATTTGTTTGATGTCAATTCATCCAGAAGCTAAATATTAAATTCTGGACCAGAGTATGAATCCCTTTGACTGGTGATTCCCTCACTTTTAATCCATAAATACATAAAACTCTCTTCAGTAAAATATCTGAATGCATATCAGATATAGACTATCCATTTCTTTGGTTCAGAAATGATTGGTACCCAGAGGATAGATCTTAATGATTGTGGTGACTACTTAACTTTTATACCTTGCATCAGAAGTATGGGGGAAATCTTTATATGTGTGTTTCTCATTATACAGTATAAACCTTCTTCTGGCTGCTTTCTTTAGTGGTTGCCATAGCAGATCATTTGCCTCCATCTCACACTATCCTTAGCCTTCTTATTTTTATGTCCACAACTGTCACATCCATGAATCTTCTCTGTGGTTTACCTCTTTCCTCATGCCTGGTAGGTCCATCTTCAACAGCGCTTGAGCAATATATCTGCTATCCCTCCTCTGCACTTGCCCAAACCATCTCGGGCTGACTTCCATCATACAAACCTTCCCTTTCAATCTGGATCTTATCCTTTTCTCACAAATCTGTTGGAGTTGGTGGAGATAACACTCATCTTCACCAACTCCAACCTGCCTGCATTCTTTACTTCATCTCTCTTGCACATTATCCGTTTTATTGAATGGCTGACCCCAGGTATTTTAACTACGCTACCTTCACAATCTCTCCTCAGTTTATCTTCACTTTTTTGTTTCAAAAAAAAAAAAAACAACTGTCACACCTACCGCACACCTCACCACTGTTCTGCTGTCCTCATACATTTCCTGCACCACCCTCACATACAGTACTTCTATGCAACTCCCAACTTCTTAAAGCAGTATCACATTTCCTCTCTTGGCATCTTATCATATGCTTTCTGTAGATCCACAAAGACAGTGCAACAGCTGACCTTCTCTATACTTTTGCCTCAACACCATACCCCATACCCATGGTGTGCCTCATCCTGCTGCAGTTACTCTGCACATGGCCGTTGCTCTTAAAACAGCACACTTCATCTCCACTTTTTAGGGAACCTCTCACTCCACATGATTGAAACATCAATCCGGTTCAAACAGTCCAGTGCCTTCTCTCCTATACATAGCTGTCATTGTATATCTAAATTATTGTAGATTGAGCCACACTGAGCCTTGATATTTTCTTTTAACAGTTAAATGTCTCTACATTGTAACCATTTATGATAAAGAATTCGATTGATGGCCATAAAATTTGATGGACACCTTTCTACTCCCCTCAGGACCAACTGAAAAATGGCTTATGGTTGTTCAACCTTTCATCCACCGCCTCATTAGGGACTTTGTGGTTTCTAAGTTATGTCTAGTGCTATGTTAAGAGATGTCATTACAATTAAGAAAATATTCCAGTATCCTCATGAAAAATAATTATATTTTTGCTTTATTTTACAAGACTTTTATCAAGTGTATCTTCAATTTAAAACACCTAGTACACAAAGCAGGCCATACCTCTATGAGCGGGTGCCAGTGTGCGATTGGCTTCCGTGGGTACGTCAGCATCTCATTCCAGTGGTCTCGCCCAAGGCTCTCGGCCTCACTGCCTACCCTGCATACCCCGATCACTTCATTATGCCCAACCCTGGAGGACAGAAAAATCAGCACCCACAGAGACTCTAAAATGTTCTAAAATGCGCTGGCATGTCACATGAGAGTGCTAAATGTACAGAGGTAACTCACCGATCATAGTCCATGACAGCTATTAGCAGGCTGATCTGGTCAATGCTCTCAGGAGGAACATCAAACACAATGGCCTCATTGTACACTGGATTCAGAGTGTTACGCTTAGTCGATGTCTTTCTCTTCTTTAGCCTTCGACCATCACACATCAGAGACACTTTCACATATGGATCTGAGAAGAGAAAAGGTGTTAAGACTGAAGAAATAATTAAACAGATATACACACACTAATGCATGCATACCTCATCTTCCTACACCACCTCTTATTGGACACACTGTACTGTTGATCGGCACCCACCTGAGGCTCCAGTGATGTCCATGGCTTTGAGGTTTCTGGCTTTGATAATTGTGATGGTAAGCCTGCCAGCCGTTGGGAGATAGCACAGTGAGAACATCAGCTCTCCAAGGTCCACATTGTCCTACAAACAAATATATTGTGTTCCTATATTAGCACTGCACATCATCAACTTTAATTAACTTTTTAGATTCAACAATACAGTCACAGATACACAGGGATCTGTATATTGGCAGTTAAGAGGTTTGGTGATAAAATTATACTATATGGGTAACGAAAAGCACAACTGCTGTTAGAACAAACATGAAGGAATAGGAACCAAATAAAAACTAAGAGACATCTATTTCAGGAAACCGATTATGGATAAAAGCAGCTTTGGTTTATAATGAGCAGCACAGTTAAAGCGGATCCAACATGTAACACCAGAGGAACTTCACATATGGATCGTGGCTGAAACGCGGAAGCCTTTCAGAATCATGTCTGGATGATTCATCATTAATCACTAATAACCACGGCATTACTGTATCCCAGTATCAGTCTGTGCTAAAATGTGTGGAATCTACAATCAAGTTTGAGCTACTACTAAGATTATAAAAACGTCACTGCTTCCGCTTCTTATTCACATTCATGCATATGCCAGACTCTTTTCCCAATTAACACATCTGAAAATAACGTGTGATGGTGTGATAGTGAGCAGTGCGTTTACGAGGTACAAGCACTGACAAGATTTATCACAGGGAAACTCTGATTTCTATTTTTATGCCTCCTCTCACATATCTGGCTGGTAGTTAGCTTCATGTTAGGAAACCTTAGAAATTAAGTGATATATTTACAAAAAGGTTTTTAAAATAAGAACTAAAAATACAAGTTTCAATGGATAGGGTAGCAAAGCAGGTTAAGAGTGATTAATACAGAGGATACTAGCGATAATGTGTTTAAGATTCGTCAGGAGAAACCAGTCTACTAGAAAGACTTGTTAAAGATGTAGCAGAGACAGTGGAACACCATTGTTTCACTTGGAAATTAATAAGTGCTCCATCGCATACTGTACAAGATGATTTGGAGTCTGATTATGAGAGCAGCAGAAATGCCCATTAAGAAGCTACTGCTCAGAGTCTTCAGCTGAAAATCACTGAAAATCAAATTGAACAAAATGAGTTAATTCATCATAGATGACAGCATATGCATGCCTGTAAGCACACTGACACACACGCGCGCACATGCGTCGTCCAGGACCTGTGACATTCTAAGTGGGCGATGAGTTGATTCATCACACGTGTTGCTGAGGCGAAATCTACCTCCAACACCACATTATTGGTGTAGCTGTGAGCCTCGGGCATTAATGATATGCAGCTTATGAAGCCTTCGAGGTTTAACACACAAATTGGGGCACAAGCACAGGAATGTACACTCTGACACTCACATAAAGGTAAGCGTGTGCGGGGAAGGTAGATCAACTAGCCCTTCAGCTCACTACAGGATAATGTGATTTCCTTCTCCTATTTCACACATACACACACACATACACACATACTAAAGTTTTCAGACTATAGGATGTCGGTCACTACTCTTATGAGCACTCAAATCAAGCCTGCGGTCAAGATTATGGTCACTTGCGCTCGGCCAATGAAATTAGAGTGGTGCTTTAAAGCGCTCCAATAAAGCAGAGAGAGCATATGGACGGTCCATCTTCTCCAATTATAACACTAACACCTGCTCTCCCTCAGGAGCAGCCAGGCTTTATCTATGAGCCTCTCTCTAGCTGTGTCTTTCATAATCACGCAGTCTAACTTGATCACTCTCCTCTCGTTCATCATTCTGCTTCGTCCTTCCACTTGTAGCCGGTCTTTAAAGTGTCATGTTTAACATTCTGATATGATGAAATAAACCACTGTGTTTGATATTTCTTAGACATCCAGACATAAAAAAGCATATGAAGCACTTTCTTTATGTGCTGCACCAAAAAGCAACTTTTTCTACTGGTAATGAGAAGCAAAGAAACATCCATCTATTCGCTTGTGCTTCTCAGGGTTGCTGGAGCCTATCCCAGATGTCTTAGGGTGAGAGGCAGGGTACACCCTGGATAGGTCGCCAGTCTGTCGCAGGGCCAACACATAGACAAAGACAACCATTCATGCTCACATTCACACCTATGGGCAGTTTAGTGTTTCCAATTAACCTATCCTCATTAACTGCATGTCTTTGGACTGTGGGAGGAAGCCAGAGTACCCGGGGTGAACCCACACAAACATGGAAATTAAACTCAGGACCTTCTTGCTGTGAGGCAATAGTACATGCTAACATGTCACCGTGAAAGAACCACGTCTTAAATATATCTTTTATGACACATGGTACATAGACTGGTTCTTATATAGTGCTTTTCTACTCTATCTTGAGCACTTTACACAACGTGCACATTGCACACAGTACTCTTTTTTCCACTGTTTCTGGGTGCTTCCTAACCAACATCCACACTCCGATGGATGCGTTGGAGAGCTACATGGGGTTAGCATCTTGCAGCGTCTTGTACTTGGCATGCAGACTAGAGCAGACTGGGACCGAACCATCAACCGTCCAGTTAGTAGGTGACCTGCTCTACCACCTGGGCTACAGCCACCAAAACAGCACATAGTGGAATGTTAAACAACTTTAAACAATCATTTTGTGCTGTGACAATAAGAGTCTCTGTCAGTTGCTGTTGTTGTGGTAGTAGACCGTACTGTTTGGCTGCCTGATACTGCAGAGCATCACAGAAGTACTGAACAATTGCACTCCAAGGCAATAGAGTTAGTCATTCCATTAGACAAGAAACGTATTCCTCTTTTACTTTATTAAGCAGATTTGCTGTTAAATTATTCATCTAAAATAAAGTGGGTGCCCAGAAAATGCTATCCTAATATTTAGGACCTGTAAAGTTCTCATTGCTCAGCCATATATGTATTTAAATAATTTTACAAACGTGAACTGACTTGACAAAGATTTTGTTTTTACTCAACTTTATACGGCCTACCCATTTCACATGCTTTATTGACATAATTGTATTTTGTACTTCTATAAACTGAATCTGACTGCAAGCAGCTGCAATCTGTACTCAGAAATTTCCATTCCATTTGTAGATTGAGAGTAACTTTTTCTACCACTTAGATGCCACTTAGACTGTGAAATACTCCATTCTTCTTTTTTTAACAATCACTGTATCCATGGCAAACTGATTACAGTTTTACTGGCTCATTAGATCTCCACAGCTTTAAACAAAGCTTTCATTCATGCTTCTTCTACTTTAAATTTTACTGACTATATAAAAAAAATAAAAATAAAAAAAAAACTCTTACGCCCCTGCGGGCGGTTTATCCTTCAAGCTCGGGTCCTCTACCAGAGGCCTGGGAGCTTGAGGGTCCTGCGCAGTATCTTAGCTGTTCCCAGGACTGCGCTGTTCTGGACAGAGATCTCCGATGTTATTCCCGGGATCTGCTGGAGCCACTCGCCTAGCTTGGGAGTCACCGCACCTAGTGCTCCGATTACCACGGGGACCACCGTTACCTTCACCCTCCACATCCTCTCGAGCTCTTCTCTGAGCCCTTGGTATTTCTCCAGCTTCTCGTGTTCCTTCTTCCTGATATTGCTGTCATTCGGAACCGCTACATCGATCACTACGGCCGTCTTCTTCTGTTTGTCTACCACCACTATGTCCGGTTGGTTAGCCACCACCATTTTGTCCGTCTGTATCTGGAAGTCCCACAGGATCTTAGCTCGGTCATTCTCCACCACCCTTGGGGGCATCTCCCATTTTGACCTCGGGACTTCCAGGTTATACTCGGCACAGATGTTCCTGTACACTATGCCGGCCACTTGGTTATGGCGTTCCATGTATGCCTTGCCTGCTAGCATCTTGCACCCTGCTGTTATGTGCTGGATTGTCTCTGGGGCATCTTTACACAGCCTGCACCTGGGGTCTTGCCTGGTGTGATAGACCCCAGCCTCTATGGATCTTGTACTCAGAGCTTGTTCTTGTGCTGCCATGATTAGTGCCTCTGTGCTGTCTTTCAGTCCAGCTTTGTCCAGCCACTGGTAGGATTTCTGGATATCAGCCACCTCCTCTATCTGCCGGTGGTACATACCGTGCAGGGGCCTGTCCTTCCATGATGGTTCCTCGTCTCCCTCCTCTTTCTTGGGTTTCTGCTGCCTGAGGTATTCACTGAGCACTCGGTCAGTTGGGGCCATCTTCCCAATGTATTCTTGGATGTTCGTTGTCTCATCCTGGACTGTGTTGCTGACACTCACCAGTCCCCGGCCCCCTTCCTTCCGCTTAGCGTACAGCCTCAGGGTGCTGGACTTGGGGTGAAACCCTCCATGCATGGTAAGGAGCTTTCTTGTCTTTATGTCAGTGGCTTCTATCTCCTCCTTTGGCCAGCCTATTACCCCAGCAGGGTACCTGATCACAGGCAGGGCGTACGTGTTGATGGCCCGGATCTTGTTCTTACCATTCAGCTGACTCCTCAGGACTTGCCTGACCCTCTGCAGGTACTTGGTGGTTGCAGCCTTTCTAGCGGCCTCTTCATGGTTCCCATTTGCCTGCGGGATCCCCAGGTACTTGTAACTGTCCTCTATGTCTGCAATGTTGCCTTCTGGTAGTTCAATCCCCTCAGTTCTGACTACCTTCCCTCTCTTTGTTACCATCCGACTACACTTCTCCAGTCCGAACGACATTCCAATGTCATTGCTGTATAGCCTGGTAGTGTGGATCAGTGAATCGATGTCTCGTTCACTCTTGGCATACAGTTTGATGTCATCCATGTACAGGAGGTGGCTGACAACTGCTCCGTTCCGTAGTCGGTATCCGTAGCCAGTCTTGTTAATGATCTCACTGAGGGGGTTCAGGCCTATGCAGAACAGCAGTGGGGACAGAGCATCTCCTTGGTAGATCCCGCACTTGATGGTGACTATATATATATATATATATATGTATATATATATATATATATATATATATATATATATTAGGGGTGCAACGATACACAAAATTCACGGTTCGGTTCGGTTCGATACTTTGGTGTCACGGTTCGATATTTTTTCGATACAAAAAAAATGTTCATGCCTTTTTAATTTGTCATTTATTAAAATTAT